ATAAATAATGTTGGCAGGATGGCAGCTAGCTTATAAGTCTGGGAGGCGCTCCACCCTAATATTGCCTACATGATTTAAATAATGGCATCCGTTTGGTTCACTTTGCAATTACCGTATTTTTCGCCCCAGAGGATGCACTTTTCCCCCTCCAAAAATGAAGGGGAAATGTGTGTGCGTCCTATGGGGTGAATGCAGGCTTTCCCCTCTCGCTCTCCAGGCTTCGCGCAGATCTCTGGGCTCCCGCGGCTTGCGGAGAGTTGCCTGCATGCCGAAGGCTGGGCGCGCCGGGCTCCCAAGGCTTGCAGAGAGTTGCCTGTTCTGGGGGCTGTGCCTGGGGGGAAATAAATTTTTTCCCCCTTTATTTCCCCCCCAAAAAACTAGGTGCGCCTTATGGGATGGTGTGTCCTATAGGGCGAAAAATACGGTAACAGTTCCCTTAGACTATGGTTACCAGACATCCCCGTTTCCTGGGGACAGTCTCCGGATTTACAAATCTGTCCCCAGACAAAATCCGTCCCTGGAATGTCCCCGGATTTCATTTAATGTCCCCGGATTTATATTTTAAGTGTTGTAGATTTATTAGTAGGGAATGAATGTTGCATGATTGGTTCAACGGCACAAGACACATCATATGGGGACTTCCAGTGAGGCAAAACGGAGGGCGCCACAGCAGCGAGCAGCTCCTGAAGCCAGCCAGAGCCAACTGCGCTACCAGGCTGGCTCTGGGCTGCTGAGACAGCCACTGCTGCCGCCACTGCCGAGGGGGAACTGGGGACACGTGGTGCGTCAACTGGGGGAACCACTGACACACACCCCTGCGACCCAAATCGAGCCGAGAGCGAGAGCACCCAGCCACCCAGCTGACTGCCCACCCAGCTGACAGTGTTCTTGAAGCTACAAACATGAGTCTAACCAAACTGCAGGAGGCAGTGGAAGACAGGAGTGTCTGGCGTGCTCTGGTCCATGGGGTCACGAAGAGTCGGACACGACTAAACGACTAAACAACAACAACATCCTAGGAGGAGGTGGGATCTTTTTTAGATGGTCAAACAAAACTAACCTTGGCACTGCTTTGATACCCAAGACTTACTGTTACGGTCTCAAGCCAACAATCATGATGATATGGTCAAATGCTTTGTTTGATGGTTTGCTGAGCTTGGGATATCTTTACTGCTGGCAGAAGCAGAGAACTATTTTTGCAAGGAGGTTCTTTCAGTGGTCCTCAGCTGCTGCCTCAGGAAATATAGCCATGATGTGCTAAATGCTAATATTTACTAGCACCTTACCTTTCTGGCACTGTAAGGATCCAGGACAAGCTAAAATTGAATTGGAATCTTTCCAAGATCATGCCCTGAGGCCAGTCAAGGGAAGTCAGCACAAAGCACATAATTCACTCCCACATTCATTGAGCCTCTCAGATATCAACAGGTGGAAGAACTTGGTTTCAAGAAGTTTATTTCATTACATTGTAAAGAAACAAGAAGGGAAATAAATTATTATTCCTGCTGTTATTTAGGCTTGTTAGTTGCTTGTTCCATACAGTTCTCCAAGTGATTTGTAGCATATTTAAAAACATAAGCAGGAAAATTGGCTTCCAGGTGGAAAGATCCAAATTAGAAACAGAATTGTTAGAACCCAATACTAAGAATTTGTCAAGAATGTATAACTTGCTGCTGAAATGGAATACTCAAGATGAAACGGTAAAATCGGCAATGATTAAATGGGCACAGGACGTTGGTCATAACATTATGTTTGCTGACTGGGAACAGTTATGGACCACAGGTATGAAATTTACGGCATGTAATGCCTTAAGAGAGAATATTATGAAAATGATATACAGGTGGTACATAACCCCAGTCAAGCTTGCGAAAATCTATCACTTGCCCGATAACAAATGTTGGAAATGTAAAGAAATTGAAGGTACATTTTTTCACCTTTGGTGGACGTGCCCAAAGATTAAGGCTTTCTGGGAAATGAGATATAATGAATTAAAAAAGGTATTTAAGTATACCTTCCCTAAGAAACCAGAGGCCTTTCTCCTGGGCATAGTCGGCCAAATGGTGATAAAAAAGGATAGAACTTTCTTTATGTATGCAACAACAGCAGCAAGAATACTCATCGCAAAGTATTGGAAGACACAAGAACTTCCCACGCTGGAGGAATGGCAGATGAAACTTATGGACTTTATGGAATTGGCGGAAATGACTGGTAGAATCCGTGACCAGGGAGAAGAGTCGATGGAGGAAGACTGGAAGAAATTCAAAGACTATCTTCAGAAACACTGCAAAATTAAGGAATGTTAGAGTGATGTTGGACTGAAAATAAGTGGTTTCCAGCTGCACAGGTTAAAGTTAAGGATAGATTAAGATTAAAGATTAAGATTAAAGAAGTTTAAAGAAATGGAAATTTGATTTTAAAAGGGAAAACTTTAAAGTTACAGGATATTAAGATCAAGGATTAGGTTTAAAAAAGTTGAAGTTATATATTTTAACATTTTATTAAATTAAAGATTGGGATTATAAAAGTGGAAAAGAAACTGCTGGATAAATAATGTGGATTGGAATACAAAAGAGGGAGGTATGAGGAAGTCCAGAAAATAAGTAACTTAAAATTGGAAATGGAAAAGAGAGTTTGTTATTAATTGTTTTGTGTTTATATTGTTAAGTTTTGTATTGTTTTTTGTGTGTGTTGTTTTTCTTTTTTGTTTGTTTAAAACCTTAATAAAAAATTATTATAAAAAATAAAATAAAAACATAAGCATAAATAAAATACATTGTAAGTATACATTTTACAGAGAACGGCTCCAATCCTGCTCTAGCACACAGAATGGTGGCCTCAACAGAAGTGTACATCAAATATTTATTTTCAAGATCCACATCTATTTGTGGATCTTTAAGGCAGACTGTCGTAACTGGCAAACCAGCTCTCCAGGGTCTAATCATCACAGTGACAGCTGCTTTCACCAGGAGGTGTTCTATGACATGGGAGTCCTCACAACATTACCTCCACACAGAACACCACCCTCCCAGCCAGTACAGGACACCACATCACTGCTCATTCTAATAGTGAATGTGGCTGAACTGCAACCTCAATAGCAATATTTGACAGCTCTCAGCCAGCCCCGAAGCCTGATATGCCTCACCCTTTACGCTGTCGAGAAGAAGAAGAGCAGAAGCCTTGAATAATTTGCCATTGTTCAATCTTTCAAAAGCAGATGAAGTGTGTCATTTACTGCAGGAACGCTATCTTTGGGAGACGTGTCCATTAAGTAGCACTACGGTAATTAAATACACTGATACATAGATTTAATTAGCCAGCTTCATATTTAAGGACTCGCTCTGTGCAACACTTTGGTGAGGGTGTTTTGTGTGTGTGTGTTTCTTGAAGAATCCTTGAGTTGATGCTGTTCATTATTGCGGTTAACTTGATCAGGGAAAAGCAAAGAAGCGAGATCACTGGGGGGCAGTTGCCCTTGAAAGCAAATTAATCTTTTCACACTGAGCGCAAAGCATGTCACATCAGAATCGACCAAAGAATGGCAGGGGGTAATTAATGGGGCAGATAGCCAGGTTGCCATTTCTGATTACCACATGCTGCCCACTGGATTTGATCTCGCTGAGGCAAGCTGTTGGAAACAAGAACCCCTGATGGGCAACAGTGCTGCTAATGTCAAGGAAAAGAAGCCCCGTCCTTAACAGGAGGGGCATTTTTTATTGGAACCATTTGTTGTTTTGGGAAGACAGCCCACCCCCAGCCACACGTTCCAACTCCACTCGCACACATGCGCGTGACCTCAAGATGTGTAAATTTTGTTCTCTTAAGACCACACCACCACATCTGCATAACTAATACCATTTGCAGTCAAGAGAGCTGGGTATGTTTAGCCTGGAAAAGAGGAAACTGAGAGGAGATATGATAGCCATTTTCAAATATCCAAAGGGCTGTCACATGGAAGATGGAACAAGCTTGTTTTCTCCTGCTCCGGATGGTAGGATTCAAAGCAATGGCTTCAGTTACAAGAAAGGAGGTTCTGACTAAATATCAGGAAGAACTTTCAGACAGTAGAGAGCTGTTCAGCAGTGGAATGGACTCCCTTGGGGTGTAGTAGACTCTCCCTTGGAGGTTTTATCAGAGTTTCCATGGCCATCTCTCATGGATGCTTTTGATTCCTGCATTGCAGGGGGTTGGACTAGATGACCCTCGGGGTCCCTCCCAACTATACAATTCTATGATTCCACTGTGAAAGAATAATTTGGTGATTATTTGCAAATATTCCTGCAGAGCAGGGTTGTTTTCCAACCCTTCAGTGCCATTCCACCCCCACCAAAATAAAAATAAAAAGCAGCATTTTGTGAAGCTAGACACATCATGTTTCAAATACTATGCCTTTATCCAGGGCTGCAGTCCTCTGCATAGATGGTAATTAGCAATTTGAAAAATCAACTCACTTCGTATGATTCCCCTCTTTATCAAAATCCTGGCACATCCCTTTACCTTAAACCCTGTGAGTAGTTCTTTATACCAAGGCTCTTGAACTCCTCTTTGGGCAGAATTCTTTCAAATCCTTTTGGGTGGAATCCTTTCATATCCTCTAAGCTCAGGCGTTTTATGGAAATGAGCAGTGGGATTTAGCTTTTGTTCCTAGTCAAATAAAGTTTTCCAAATCTAAAATGGCAGGATAAAATGGCCATAAGCCAGTGACATCTGGATCATATTTTGCATGTCCTTTTTAAATATTAAGAGGCCAGTGTCGTGCTTTTTGAAAAGAAAATAAAGACATGATCCAAATTTTATATACATACTCCTGTTTTCAGCACAGATGCAGGGGGAAAACATTCAGAAAATACCATCAAATAGAAGGACAAGCTTCTTAATGATAATAAACCTTGGTGGCCTTAATCTTTGTTGCTGGAATCTCCTGCTTCGGCAAGTTCACATTCTCACTGAATTCCAAACAGGTTAAAATATGCCATTTGGCATTCCGTTATATCCTCCTTTCAGACTTCCCACGAGCATCCATAAGAACAGGGTGCAGAAATCCTTGGAGCCTTTGGTCTGATGCAGCAGGAATCCTCTTATGTTTTTATAATCTGATTCCAGACTCATGGTTGGATCCTTGTATTGAATTAGGTGAGACATACTCTTTTGTCTAATGTAATGTACTTCAATGTGTAATGTAATGTTCAATGCAACAGAATTGATTTGGCTGCATCCCTGCCCCATAAGGCAGGAGAAAAGTCCTGTTGCTCTGCTGTGACCTCCCTGCCAATTTAGATACAGTGACTGAACTGGAGGCCCCTCGACTGACTTCAGGTCCAGTGTTGGACCATTTCGATCGGATACTCCCTACTGATGTGGATAGATTCCTCCAAGTTGATAGGCCCACCACCTGCCTCCTTGATCCGTGCCCGTCTTGGCTGATTAGGGAGTGTCCAGATGTTGCGCGGAGCCCCCTGGTTGAAATGATCAATTTGTCCCTTGACACGGGGACATTCCCAGGGGAACTGAAGGAAGCAGTGGTGTATCCACTCTTAAAGAAAACTTCATTAGATCCCTTAGACCTATCCAATTACCACCCAGTTTCAAATCTTCCATACCTTGGTAAGGTAATTGAGAGAGCGGTTGCTGAACAGCTTGGTAGGTTTCTGGAGGAAACATCGGCATTAGATCCATTTCAGTCCGGTTTCCGTCCTGGTTTTGGGACGGAGACGGCTCTGGTTGCCCTAACAGATGATCTCCGTAGACAACTGGATCGAGGCGGGTCAGGACTGCTGATCCTTTTAGGTTTGTCAGCAGCCTTTGACATGGTCGATCATGATCTTCTGGACCACCGCCTCGCAGACGTGGGGATACAGGGCATAGCCCGTAACTGGTTGTGCTCTTTTATCTCTGGTCGGGGACAGAGGGTGGCACTAGGGAGGGAAATGTCGTCGCGCCACTCCTTGGTGTGTGGAGTGCCGCAGGGCACAATTCTCTCCCCGATGCTTTTTAACATCTTTATGCGGCCCCTTGCCCAGATTATCCGGAGCTTTGGGCTGGGCTGTCACCAATATGCTGATGACACTCAGCTCTATCTGCTGATGGATGGCCACACCGACTCAGCCCCAAGCACACTGACCAGATGCTTGGAAGCTGTAGCTGGATGGTTTCGTGGGAGCCGATTGAAACTAAATCCTTCAAAGACAGAGGTCCTATGGCTAGGTCAGGATGGCATGGGGATGAGGGACCAACTCCCTTCTCTTGCGGGGGCCCAATTAGTGCCATTGCCTTCCGTTAAGAGTTTGGGTGTAATCCTTGACGCCTCCCTTCCATGGAGGCGCAAGTTACAGCAACAGCCAAGGCGACATTTTTCCACCTTCGCCGCATCAAGCAGTTGGTCCCTTACCTTTCCCGCCCCGACCTGGCCACAGTGATCCATGCGACGGTCATCTCCAGGCTTGACTACTGTAATTCGCTCTACGCGGGGCTGCCCTTGAAGCTGTCCCAGAAACTCCAGCAGGTACAGAATGCTGCAGCGAGGCTCCTCACGGGGTCTCTGCCATGGGAGCATATTCACCCAGTGCTTTTCAAGCTGCACTAGCTCCCGGTGGAGTACAGGGTCAGATTTAAGGTGCTGGTTTTGATCTTTAAAGCCCTTCATGGCCTAGGACCCAAGTGGTCCCAGGCCCTAAGGAAGTTAGAGTGGCTTCAACCAGAGCCAGGGCCTTTTCAACTCTGGCTCCGGCCTGGTGGAACGCTCTGCCTCATGAGACCAGGGCCCTGCAGGATCTGATTTCTTTCCGCAGAATCCGAGACCAGGGAGAAGAATCGGTGGAAGAAGACTGGAAAAAGTTTAAAGACTATTTACAGAAATACTGTAAAATTAATGAATGTTAGAAAAATGTTGGAATGAATTTATATGGCTTTAGTAGAAATGTTATAAGGAATTAAGTATAAATAGATTAATAGAGTATTAAAGGGAAAATAAGGTTAGAATGTGTTAAGATAATTATAGGATAGAAAACAGAGGAAGATGGAAAGGAATTGCTGAAACAATTAACAGAAGTGGAATACAAAAAGGGAGGTGTGAGGAGGTTGTGGAAACAAGTGAATGAAAGATAAGATAATGAAATGGTTTGATGTGTTTTAAATGGGTTTTGTTTTTGTTTTATTAGTTTTATGTGTTAGTGTTTTGTAGTGTTTTTGTATTGTATTGCATTGTCTTCTTTTTTTAGGTTTTTTCTTTTGTAGTGTTGTGTTTAAATTGTTGGAAAATTTATAAATATTATATATATATATATATAAAAAAGATTTCTTTCCGCAGGGCCTGTAAGACAGAGTTGTTCCGCCTGGCCTTTGGCTTGGAGCCAATTTGATTCCCTCCCTCCCTCTCTTTTTTTCTTTTCCTTCTCCTCCTGCGATGAGGCTACATTTTAATATTTTAATGTTCCATTATTTTAATGTTGTATTTTATTTTTGTTTTTAAGTTGTAATCATTCATCTTGTTTTTATTATTGCTTGTAAGCCGCTCTGAGCCCAGCCTTGGCTGGGGAGGGCGGGGTATAAATAAATTATTATTATTATTATTATTATTATTATTATTATTATTATTAGTGATGGGCCATACCCACACCATACATTTAAGGCAATAGACAGTCCCAAAGAATCCTGGGAAGTATAGTTTCTTAGGGGTGCTGAGAGTTGTTTAGAGTCCCCTATTCTTCTCACGGAGCTACAGTTCCCAGAGTTCCTTAGGAAGAGAGCGTGATTGTTAAACCTCATGGGTGGGCTAGCCCTGTGTAGTTCTGTGCTGGGAATAGGGATCACCTAACAAATCTCAGCATCCTTAACACACTACAGCTCCCAGATTTCTTTGGAGGAAGCCATGGCTGTTTAAAGTGGTATAATACTGCTGACATGGACGTGGCCGTGGTTTGCTTTTTTTACAGCTCTCCTCATTTCCCATAGAAGCAGCCTGACTTGGAAATCTATTTGGATTTGGCTGTGTATATGACAACTTTTCTGTCCCCCTGTCTTCAAAGCTGCTTGCAGTCATAAAAAGTAACTTAATAAAAGCCGTAAGTGCATCAAATAGATGGACTTTTTAAAAATGATGTAACATTTGTAATAAGCTGGCTACATCTAAGAACCATCAACCAGCCCACACAGAGAATCAATTAAACATCAAACGCTTGTTTAAAAAGAACAGTTTCAAACAGGTTAGCCATGTTAGTCTGTTGCAGCAAAAACAAATATTCATGTGGCACCCTCAAGACAAGCAGATTTATTATGGCATAAGCTTTCATGAACCACAGTCCATTTCATCCGGCACATGAAGTAATCCTGAATGTGCAAGAAGACACACATATGGTGTTCTGGTGGGTAGGAACACAGAGGAGCAAGTTCAGAAGGAAATGAAGTGCAAAAAAAACAGGCAGCGATGCTAAATAATTACAGTGATCAGTTAGCAAGGGCCACAGCATTGGTGATGACAAATCCTGGCACTGATACACTAATTAACATGTGCTATTTTTTATTTTTATTTTGTTAAAACTGTAATCTCGATTCAACCTGCAGGTAACATTACTTAATTGCCCCATAAATGGTAATTCGTTCACTTCCTGCTGGAGTTTCTCCTTGAATTTCAATTTATCGGACAATTGTGGCTTAAATAAAATTTTCACTTTTAATCCTATTCTCTTACATGTGTCATCTTGCCAATGCCAGGATGTTTGTGCTACCTACCACCAACCCTGCCTTGTTTAATTGATCACTCTTAACTATTTTGGTTTCCGGTGATCATCATTGTCTGGTTGACATTGATTGAAAGGCAAGGAAGGAATCACAGAGGGAAGGGGATAAGACTGTGCTGCCCAGATCCATCCATCCTGTCAAGCACTGCTCACTAGTGGATGGGAAGCAGTGAAATAGATTTCGGAAGTATAGAATGAAAAGTGCTTTTACATGGACAAAAGCGCACACAGAAAAAAATGGAATCTGTGGGACCCACATGCGCATTAATGCTGCATTAGGGACACATCCTAGCTAGGTATGACTGATAAGAAAGTGAAGGGCACAACAGCACACCTGCCTTGCTAGCTTCACATGACAAGGTCTGCCCAAGAGATCAGAGACTTACCATTTCCACTGATATTAATTTTAAAAAAAAGAGGGCAAATGGACAAGTCTGACATATAAGCTCACAGCCAATGACCCAGCAAGGTGGATCTGACAAGTGTGAAGAAGTGCAAATCTCATGTTTGGCAATCTTCCTTTCAAGAAGGATCTCCAAGGAGTGCATTGATGAATTTTTAAAGTGGCACGTTGGTGCTAAGAGGTCAGGTGCTGAATCAAGGAATTTCATTTCCATTTGCTGATGCACTTTGCTGTCAGAGTGGGTGGTGGCTGATCAAGCATGGTTAGAAATTCTCAGTAGTTGTGTTGTGCTGGAATCAAAAATTCATTTCTTATTTGGCAGATATCCTTCCCACCACACGCCTCTAACAAGACGATCCTACATTCCACTACCACAACCCCTCATCACCCATCATAGGTTGCTATAGTAATTGTAGCCTTTAGTTGAGTGGCCTGGCCTGCTCCCATCTCTGCCATCCCCCCCTTTCCCTTGGATCAAAGGAGAAGATAAGCAGCTTTCATTGTATCACCACCTCTTTCTGATGCTTCACACAACTGAGCGCCTTCACAAATCTGCCACTTGAGACTTAAATGCAAAATGAAGTCACTGATTCCAAAGCAGAAGCTTTTGAGACACATGAGTGGAAGACCATTCAGAAGACAGAGGAAAGGAAGAAAATAAACAGGTCATTTGGACAAGCCCTAGGATCCAGTGACATGCTGGGGCAAGCTGATCTGAAAGAGCCAATTTTACACACTAGTCACTACTAGCCATAAGTCAAGCCAAGCAACATTTTCTAAAAATAGCAGCACCATAGACTGCAGTACAGACCGACAAGATATTTGCTCTGCATTTGCAGTGGGGAATCCACAGAGGGAAAAAATGAGTGCCTTGGTTGTGGCTTAAATACAGATCTCCTGAGCTGGAAAGCCAAAGCCATTAAATTACTTTATTTCCTCATTCCATTTTATTCCAGTGCCTCTAGCCAAATCCATGTCTGGCTCAACTCCTAGGGTTTCCCACAGGGGTTGAATTTGGATCAGTAGGGCATCAAAAAGCCAGCTGATGAAGTTATTGAAATAGCTTTTGCCAAGACATTTTATGTGATTATTGATTATGTCATAGGGATTGCATTCAGCAGGCAATTTTTTTAACACGGTGCCCATAGCCTTCAGATGATGCTGTGGTGATGAAGAAGAAGAGGCATTGTTTATTTTATAGGGTCTACATTTCCTTTATGTGCACAGTCGACTTTCACTGGTTTTATGCATTTCCACCACTAGTTTAAAGAAGGAGCCACCCAAATGAGCAAATGCGACCTCTGAAACCGTGCTATTTCAGCACTAAGAATAAAACCCAGGTTTTGTACAATCTGGAAAGGATTATCTTCAAAATGGATTTCAGACTTGATTTGAAAGGAGACTAAATATGGGTGCGCTTTCTTCTGTAGAAAGCCTCCTTGACTTGTGCGTGCGGTCAGACTGGTTCTGCTGCTTCAAAGGCACTGCAGATTGTACAATGAGAAAACAATTGTATATTTATCTTTAATTAGGGGGAACGGGCATGGATGCTACAAGCACAGGTTCTCTAAAAGCTGCATATATTTTAAGGTTTAAAGTATTTTTTTCCCTCCCACTGAAGCTATGGGGAATAGAAACTCAGGGCATTATCAAAATAATGCATCCTGTCAGTGCAAGGATTTATGCTTGTATAATGGAACTTTCCACAGGGTACTCCTGGACAGGGGAAAAGTAGCACAGCTCTCAGGTGTCCTCCAAAGACACCAGCACCTTGATGTTTGAAGAACTTTATCTTGGTGAATTCCAGCTGATCTGATCTGCACCTCCCAGATTAATGCCTAATTTTCCATGACTGTCACACTTCCCAAATGTTCAGGTGGATTTTTCAGCCTCCCACAAAAAAAAATACAATGTGTAAAATAATAATAATAATAATAATAATAATAATAATAATAGAGTGAAAACACTTAGAAAAGCATGTTTTAAATTTGTATTAAATATGGACTATTGTGTGCAATTTTCATGCAGATTAATGGGGAAACGGGGGGGAAAGGATTTACGGGTAAGGCAGATGAAAGAGATATGGATTGGGAATAGATGGGAGGGACCCCTGGACTGACTCACTGTAAGGCAGCTTCCTGTGCTCCTTCTGATGTGACCTTGCTTGGGCAGAGTTCGCTGTGCAAAAGTGGCATATAAATAAGCTGACCTTAACACTTATATCCATGTGCGGATTCATCCTCCAGAAGAAGAACACTCTCTTCGAGGTGTGAGGAAGGCAACACGTGAGCAGGAGTGAGAGGGAGGTGCTTCCATTGCCTTCCAACTTAGGGCAGCTGAGTGGGTGAAGTAGGCAGTCTTTCTTAGCAGGGTTCCAAACCACACGGGAGCCCCTAACAAACAGAAATATCCCGGCCCAATCACTGAAGTCTTCAAGGCAGTCATGGTTGGGATTGATGGTTTGGATCCACCAGGAGCCATGTGTTTAGACTTGGGGGCTCAGTTTAAGGGAACTGCCTTCTAGCTGAGCTCAGACAGGCCCCCTTCTGGTTGCGCTTCTGGTGCCTATGGAAGACATAAAATTATTATTCCAGGGAGTTTGATTTTAAAGTTTAACTTATTTTTATTTTTTGTATCATATCTTAATAGACTGCTCAGAGGCTGTTGTAGTTAAGCGGCATATAAATCATTTCAGTAAATAATAATAATAGGCATGAGGTAGAGTTACCACAGTCATCCTTGCTGCTGCCCCCCACATGTGTTTCTTTCCCTGTATTGATAATGCCTGGAGAGGGTTTCCGTCTCCTCATCTTTTAGGCAACTCTGTTGTATTATTAAATCAGCAGGAGTCCCCAGCTCTGCCTCGGCGTTTGCAGAAACCATAAAATATTGTGATTTTTAAATATATATATATAGTATGATATACCAGTTTAGACCTATCACGCCAAAAGCCAGGCAATGTCAAACCAAAGTCATGTTTTGGTCCACCATATTGATTCAAAATGGCGCCCGGCATCCAAATGTCAACATCTGCTGCTGCGACCTTGGGAAGCTAGATGACAATATCTCAAGAGGTGGACAAGCCAATGGAGAACAGACTGACAAACAGACAAACCTATTTCCAAAATATATAGTAGCTACAGAGGAAAAGGTTCCTAACATTTAGAAAGGGCACCAAACTGAACATAGGACAGCTGTGGCACAGTCCTGATCACCTACCCTGTTAGCTGAGCTGCTTGCAGATAGGCAAAGTGTGTGTGGTTAGAAGTCTGTTTCGCCTTTGCTTTGCAAAGCCTTGAACATTCACCTGATACTGGGCTTATTTCCCTTTGTTCTGTATCTGAAACCGAATTGCTGGATTAGTTCCACTCTGTAAGTTCAATGCATAACTAAGCATACCTAGCATGGCTTGAGGATATCCACTCAGTGGGGAAGTTTGAAACCTAATAGTGGAACGGGAATAAAAAAAAGGAACTCCCCTGTGACTACGGTGCACCCGCGTGTGAAATCCTGAGCTGTCATTTCAGCAGCCTGTCGGTGTGCGAGCAGCAGATTGTCATTGGGCGAGCTGGGAAGGCAGAATGAGCTGCAGTTCTAATAGAAGAGGTTTGAACAATGCTGTCGCTGGCTGGAATTGCCAGTCAGTAATTCTCCCACCCTGCTGGGTAAGCTGCCTTACGCTCAGTGGGGGCTGGTGCCTACTGAGACTGGTAGGGCAGAAGGCAAGGAGGCCAACAGTAGGTGGAGAGTCAAAGGTAGGCAGAGCTTCTTGCTGACAGGTTGTAAGAAGGCAGGCGGATGGGGGCTGGCTAAGGGCAGACAGAGGGTGGTGGGGCAGCACCCACTGCGCCCTCAAGAACCAGCCTCCACTGGCCCATCTAGTCTGCCCTGACTGGCAGCAGCTGTCCAGCGTTTCAAGCAAGAGTCTTTCCCAGCACTACCGATGGAGTTGAACCAGGCATCTTCTGTGTGCTCCTGCATTGAGCTACGGTCCTTCCAATGTTGTTGGCATCTGTCTGTCTCAAGAGACAATGAAGTCAGCCTCTGGCAGTGAAGTCAAATTGCTGCCTTAGCAGCACCGAAGTGCAAGCCTGGGCAGTGTGTGTGGAGGTCCTGGGCTTCCCAGACAGCCTAGGTGATGTGGTCCAAAGGACAGCAGAACAATATGTTTGGCATCAGCTTGGTTGCAGGGGTTGCCAGAGGGCAAGGCACCATCCAACTCTCTTTGAGACTCCACTCTGGATTTGTGTGAGGTTTACTCTTTAGCCTTTTCTTCTCCCCCCCAAGATATCATGCAAGGCAGCAGAGTTTTGGACCGGAGTTTTCCTTCTCCTAGATGGGCTACTTTCCCAGGCTGACAAGCCCCATCTGCCCCTCACTTCCCTCTACAGCACATGCAGAAACCACCTTCTTGACCATTGGACCCACTGTTGGTCTCGTCTGCTCAGTCTGCCAGGGCCTGTCTTCTCATGCAGGAGAAATCCCTAATGCAACAAGGTTGGGTTGGGTCCTTCCTAATGAGGTCAGTGGAATTTGCCCTCGTTGAGTTAATGGAAGATCACAGGCTAGTCATCCTTGATAAGAATGCTTGTTTCAGCAAGGACAACTACTCACAGCTGGGTTTTCATCTTTTGGAGGAAGAGCCAAAGGGGAAGGTTTTACCACAGCCTTAGCAGAGAGATGGAGCAGGACAGAGGACTACACAGTCTGCTCGGCACACAACCCTTTCCGTCTGATCTTTATTTTATAGCCTAAAGAGATAAGGAGATAATAGCTGAGTTGTATGTGACACAGAGGTGGGGGATAAATTCAGCTCAGTTTGCATCTAAAGACAAAACCTACCTAATTTGCAATTTCTGAAACAGTGCATTCTGGGCAATTCTCTGAATGTTGCAATGCAGCTCTCCAGTCAAGTAATGTGTACAAAAATGCATATGCTAGGGCAGTATGTGCATATATTCATGAGAATCATGTTTAAAAATGCATTGCCTTACGGGAAATTGCTTTGCAAAAATGTGTGTATTGGGAGAAATTCATGCAAAAATGCTGATGAACTTTCATGGGGACTTTAAAAATAAATAAAGCATAAAATGGGATGTGGAAAACTGAACTTCAGATTATGAAAACGCAAAACTGAGAGAAACTGAAATCAATATAGCAACATAAAGGTAAAGGGACCCCTGACCATTAGGTCCAGTCGTGGCCGACTCTGGGGTTGCGGTGCTCATCTCGCTTTATTGGCCGAGGGAGCCGGCGTACAGCTTCCGGGTCATGTGGCCAGCATGTCTAAGCCGCTTCTGGCAAACCAGAGCAGCACACGGAAATGCCGTTTACCTTCCCGCCGGAGCGGTACCTATTTATCTACTTGCACGTTGACGTGCTTTCGAACTGCTAGGTTGGCAGGAGCAGGGACCGAGCAATGGGAGCTCACCCCGTTGCAGGGATTCGAACCGCCGACCTTCTGATCGGCAAGTCCTAGCCTCTGTGGTTTAACCCACAGCGCCACCTGCATCCCATAGCAACGTAGGAAGCTACTTTATACTGAGTCAGACCTCCGGTCCATCTAGCTCAGTATTGTCTACTCTGATTGGCAGCAGCTCTGCAGGATTTCAGGCAGGAGTTTCTCCCAACCCTACTAGAGATGCTGGGGATTGAACCTGGGAACCTGGGACCTCCTGCTTGCAAGGCAGATGCTCTACCGCTGAGCTATGGCCCTGGCCCTTCCCCCTCCCTAATGACAGATTCCCCCATCCTTAATGTGATGCTGTCATGTTGTTCATGGCACTGGTGTTGGTACCCTCTTATCGTCAACAACCCTTGCTTGCTATATAGGATTATACTGACAGGTATGCCGTACTTTCATTTTCAATCAAATCCTCTTTCTGTGGAAGAGAACAAAGCAGGTCCATTACATCTGGCCTTTTCGCCATTCTTGAAATTACTGAAAAAGGCCCTCCGTGTAGGTCGTGATCTTTTGTGGTAAATAGTGTTTCAGGGCAGTGTTAAGGCAATCATGCTAGCCACTGAGAGTAGATATCAGGGGCGAGGAACCTGTAGCCCTTCCATCATTCCCAGCCCAGATGGCTAGTGATCAGGAATAATGGAAGTTCTCCAGCAACATGTGGAGAGCTCCAGGCTCTGTAGCCCTGGAAGAAACGGCTTGAGTTTGATTGTGAGGACTGGCAAAATGTAATTTCTTTTCAAATAATTTTTATTGCTTTTCAAATGAGTCGACAGAGAATTTAAAAGAAGAACAGAAAACTCCCGAAACAGAATGTAGAAAAGCAAGAAGGGAGGATTAAAGCACGTTAAATGTATTTTTCAGTGTCATCATAAAGGCATATAGTTGTAGAATGAATCATTGGCATTACGTAGAAGGGATGTTCCCAGTAATCCTAAAACAACTGTAATTGGGGGGGGGGATTTGTTGTGCCAGAGCAACAGAGCATATTAATTCATTTTAATCGTATGCAACTGAATCCCTCCCACTAAATGTTGATAGCCAACAGGCTGTGTTTTCTGTGTTTTCCTTTTTTAGAAAGGAGAACCAAAAATCTTGAACAACTTAATAAAAAATGTGATTTTCGTTAAGGATCGTTCACCTTGTAATTTTTCAGCTATTAAGATTTTAAGGCTGAGAAGCATGCTTCTCACAAAGTAAACCCCGGTTGTAAACAGTGGGACTTGCTTCAAAGTTTCTAGCATAGGATTGTATTGTAAAAAAAATCATTCTGTCTGTAGTCTCCCGGCTCAGTTGTCATCATGGCCTTGGTGCAGCAGTGGCTCAGACTTGGTTGACCAAACACCTGCAGATTCAGCTCACTGTACACCACATGTCCCAGAAGACGAAACCTCTGTTCAGATCATGCCCTGAGCTAGAAAGCTCTTTGGCTGTGTCTGATGTTTTGGCCTAAAGAAACTATTGAACTGGGGGAAAACCATTCTTCTGACATTTCGTATAGTCTTAGCTATGAGATATGATGAGCAGCAATATAGTCACTGAAAGTACACTTTTTCAGTGCCTGAGGGTGCATTCAGACATGGGGAATATTGCATTCATTTCCTTGATGATAACACTAGGGCTTCTGTCCTGTTGTCTAACATTCCTTTCATGCTGCAGTACCTATTGCACCTTGTGGCTTTTTGACTGATGATACCAGCACATCAGTCTAAATTTCATTCACAGTGGTGGACATGGTGTGACACAATAGCAAATGTCAACAACGAACATCATTGGACCCCATGATTCCCTCATGATTCTACCATGAAAATGGCAGGAAATAACTGTGTGCTGGTATACCACCCCAAATTTGGTCACTTTACTCTTACGATTTTCCAGGTTAGCAAGGTCGCAAACAGATTTTTTTTCTGGAAGCAATTAACACCGAAATGAGTGCTAGATGTATATACCCACACATGGTATGAAGATAATGGATTAAGAAAAGTGCCCTCCACCTGCATTTCATAACACTAAAACTTAGGGCCGTCCAATGAAGCTGAACAATGAAGATTCAGGACAAAGTACTTCTTCAAACAGGGCATAGTTAAACTATGGCATTGTCTCGCAGAAGGGGCATTGATGCCCACCAATTTGGGCTGGATCCACATCAATCTTTTAAATGTTATTAGTTCTGAGATAACATTATTGCTGGAGGAGACTCTTGAGAGTCCCATGGACTGCAAGAAGATCAAACCTATCCATTCTTAAGGAAATCAGCCCTGAGTGCTCACTGGAAGGACAGATTGTGAAGCTGAGGCTCCAGTACTTTGGCCACCTCATGAGAAGAGAAGACTCCCTGGAAAAGACCCTGATGTTGGAGAAGGGGACGACAGAGGACGAGATGGCTGGACAGTGTTCTCGAAGCTAGCAACATGAGTTTGACCAAACTGCGGGAGGCAGTGGAAGACAGGAGTGCCTGGCATGCTCTGGTCCATGGGGTCACGAAGAGTCGGACACGACTAAACAACAACAACAACATTATTAGTGGGTGGCGCTGTGGCCTAAACCACTGAGCCTCTTGGGGTTGCCGATCAGAAGGTCGGCAGTTCGAATCCCCACAACGGAGTGAGCTCCCATTGCTCTGTCCCAGCTCCTGCCAACCTAGCAGTTCGAAAGCACGTCAGGGCAAGTAAATAAATAGATAGTGCTGCGGCAGGAAGGTAAACAGCGTTTCCGTGCGCCCTGGCACTCGTCCTGGTGTTCCATTGTGCCGGAAGCGGTTTAATCATGCTGGCCATAAGACCCGGGAAGCTGTCTGTGGACAAATGCCAGCTCTCTCGGCCTGAAAGCAAGATGAGCGCCGCAAACCCATAGTCGCCTTTGACTGGACTTAACCATCCTGGGGTTCTTTACCTTTTACTTAGATATAATGTTCTGTAACATTTACTGCAGTTTCCCTTGGCCAGTGGCTCGCTGCTCTGCAGTGCCCTCTAGTGTCGCATTTTAACAACACATTTTTAACGTTATAAACCATGAGTGTAGATCTGCCTTTGGATGGCTTTGAAAGAGGATCAGACTTATTCACGGAGGATAAGGCTATCTATGGCTACTAGCCATGATGGCTATTCTCTGCTGCCACAGTTGGAGGCAGCTATGCTTCTGGATACCAGTTACTGGAACACACAGGAGGCAGGGAGGCTCTCTTCTGCTCAGATCCTGTTTGTACACTTCCCATAGGCATCAGTGAGAAGCGGATGCTGTCCTAGATGGACCACTGGCCTGATCCAGTAACCACTTCTTATGTTCTACTCAGAAGTAGGCCCTGCCGAGTTCATTGAAACGTACGCCGAAATAAGTGTGCCTTGGATTGCAGCCTAAATCCTGTAACGGAAACTCAATCACATAGTTTAAAAGGACTCTTTACAAATTGGGGAATATCTTCCTTGGTGGGTGTTTTTGTGTGTGTGTGTTTTTAAGCACTCACCATTTAGCAGAAAGCTCTTGAACTTTGTGGGCTTCAGAACAAGCGATGAGGCTTTTTCCAAAGGCCAAATCAAACCACAAAGGGGGAGAAAAAAGAAACAAAAACCGATTCCAGAGTCAAAATAGTGGAAATACATCTTAGAAGCACTGGGAATTGTTTTAAAAAACACCCTTTGATTAGGAAAGCAACAAAAATGCTAATCTGCGATTTAAGAGGGAAGCTTTTAAAGTGTCTCACAAATAGCATGAATTATTCAAGGGCAGGTTATTGTTTCTTTTCGGTTATTTTGCATATGATTGAAGCTTCAAACCTGGTGCAAATACACAGATTCCAGTTAGAGCTGAAGTGGGAAGAGAGACATGCAAGGGTCCCCCAACATGGATTTTCAATTCTCTTTACTCCTGAAAACCTAGGATCGCTTGGCCTCCTACAAGCTGCTCCAATCCTGCTCTAATTGGCACTTGCTTTGATTCGTACAGTTGTAGCACAAGTTCAGCACTGAAGATGCTCTTTGTGTTTCAGATGAAGAAAGCGAGGAGCGGTAAAAGTTGATAATGGGGGATAGAACCGAATGCCAACTTCAAGACTCACTATCCCCACCACGCTCAGTTATAGGGTTGCATAAGGCACCAAGGAGCAGAGCCTCCCAGCCTGGTCCTTAGCACAGAGGTGCCTAACCTGTGGCCTTCCAGATGTTGTGGGACTCCAACTCGCATCAGCGCCAGCCAGCATGGCCACTGGTCAGGGATGATGGGAGCTTCAGCAACATATGAACAGCAGCACATTAACCATACTGCTGGCACCACCAGCGCTGGGATCCCCACAAGCCAGGCAGTTCAGGATCTCTGGAACAAGTATACCCTCTAGGCTACTGTTCTTCTGGCATGAATGCAGTCAGTTGACCTCACGGGACACACCAAGCCTTATAAAAGCCCTCACAGCTAAATCAGCTTCTTGGTCTGAGCAGGCCAAAATCTCCATTTCTGCAATTAAAGCAGGTGGTTCTCATACACAGAAAAGCGGTTATCAGAATATGATTGTCTCGTGACAAGCACCCCAGCAGGGCACAAAGTTCTGCTCATTGTATGGCTCTTTAAACAACCTGTGCTGCCCTTCCACATTTTGCCTGTCAATTCTGAGATGGTATTTGGGCACTGAAAACCCTCCGCTGTCGCTCTAGATTATGATCTGCTGGAAACCACTAAGTGAGTTTAGCCTTTGGACTGTCCACATCTTACTTCCCTGCCTTTAAATTGGAGGGAAAGCCAGCTTATCAGCAGGACAGCAAGTGAGGATTTGCTTCTTTTGAACGGGGCTCGTTCTTGAAAAAGGGAATGTGCGTGTGTGCGCGTGTGGTGATAAGGGGGAGCTCTGTGGCAAAGGATCCCTTGGTAAAGCTTCTGATTAAACACACAACAGTCAAGCCAAAATTATAGGTGACAATTACTGTAACTCGATTAGGAGCAACAGCAACTGCACTTTCCCTAAATCACTTTTCCGAGTCTCCTAGGAGAGCCCAAAGATGTAGCATATGAGGTTCATTTAATCTCTAATGTCGTAATTATCGCTACCGACTAAAGAAAACTGTGACAAAGCAAGGAAATAAATTTAACACTTGAGATTTTAATGAAAATTTTATAGATAACCCAGTCGGCTAAGACGTGTTTAATCAGTCTCTTTGGTTTTTTGAATGGCTTTGCTGGGCTGTTTGCTCCATGTGACTTGGTGGCAAAATGCCATCCCACCACTGGGAACTGTGGCAAATGCCACAGTTATGTGAGTCATGCACGG